TTTTTACTTAGAATGAAGTTTAATCTGTAATGTGTATTTTCCATTTTGTTCGATGACCTTTTGCCATCTCTCTGACAACTTGAAAATTCCACGCTCGTAGAAAGTCTGATCCTTTTCGGCCAAAATCTGAGTTAAGTGAGATTTTACAGCGTCATCATGATTAAAAGTTTTACCACGAAGGGAGTTGTCCAGAGATCGAAATAAGTGGTAATCCAATGGCGCGAGATCAGGGCTATATGGTGGGTGTAACATCAATTCCCAACCAATATCCATCAATTTTTGCCGAGTGGACAAAGACGTGTGCGGCCTAGCATTGTTCTGCTGGAAAATGACACCTTTACGATTGACCAATTCTGGTTGCTTTTCCTTGACCGCTGCATTCGATTTGTCCAGTTGCTAACATTCACGGATAATAAAAAATAACATAATAATAATAATAATAATAATAATTTTATAATATAACATTTACGGATATCATACAAATGGGAGTGAGAGACATCTATAACTGAAATCGGCAATTACTTAGTTGCCAACCCAATATATCAGGTTATGTGTATGGGTGAATAGGATTTTTATCCACATAGAGAGAATAAATTACTAGGGAATCAGATGGAGAATTTTAGCGTGGCCTCAGGATCCATAGTTGCGGTGCGACAGTAAATTGTTAAACATTTTTATTGCACGCTCCGGGCCTGCCTCGAAGGAATGTTGCATGTGTCGCTATGCTCCGAGAGTCCGTATCTCTTGACCTCGATCCTGATGTTCCACTTATTGTCAATGAAAGAAGCATTCCGCTTTGCCATTGGTCCAGAGCGCATGACTCTCATTAAGTGCAATCTGAAAAATGGGACGACATCGATAGTCATTACGATTCATTTTGTTTCACACTAGAACTACATAGATGTAGATAGATGATTAATTGAATGATTTCTTGGAAATATACCTTAATTATCTCAACGATCCCATAGGTATGTTGTGTTAAACCTTTGGAGTGTACATTTATGGCTTGTCATAATTTATGTGCTTGTTAAATAAAATGAACCCAAATCTTTGTAGCAACAATTCTATGACGGTAGTATTATAACATTAGGTTCACAGAGCATAATTCTGTTTTACTTGATAAAAATAACGAAGATATATTTGTGAAGATCCTTAACAATTTTTATCATAACATTTGCCTAAAGAAATTTATTGAATTTTCTATAAATGCACGTTTCAGTCTCGATGATCTTAAATTAAAAAATTTAGAATCCGTCATTTTGACAAGTCCGTAAACCTAGTGTTAACTGTGATTTCTGTCCTTTTTCTTTCATAAGATGTAAAAGAACAAAAAATTAACGAAGTTTCACAGGAATGTTTACAAATTAAACTCGACAATTATTTTTCTCTCATTTATATATTAACATATACTAAAAAATACATAGACTAATTATAAATATTAATGTCTACGCGCGCCTGTAGAGATTCAATTAAATAAATTTAAATTTTGTAAAAGATCTAATAACTATCATATCGTAACTAACAACTTATACGAAGTCGTAAAGGTACTTGAGAGCACCATTGTTCTCTGTGTTCTATGTATCTATTACTACAATAAATTCATTTAGCTCATAGCATAGTAAAGTTATTTTATAGTATACAGCATACAGCGTAGACTTGAATGCGTGTTTATCAGATTTTTCTTTCACAGTTATTGAAATCACGCTCGTGACCTTAATATATTGTGGTTATCAATTCTCACCAATTTTACATTTTCTTAGCCTATTTTATTTCTTCACTTAAAATTATTACAATAATAAAAACTGAATATAACAGAGAGACCTATAGTTGAATTTACGATCTGCCTCATTGAAAAACCGGGGATAAGACGAGATAAAATTAGAATACAATTACTCGTATAGAATAATTGTATTTCACGGTATATTATTATTTCATATGACTATTCTGACTGTTTTGTCTAGAACAATGTAAGCTTATGCCTTTCGATTCGCCAATTAAAGCAACATGCTATTAGGCTCGCTTTCATTTCCAGTCAGAACAATCGACGTCATTCATAAGTGTCAGGAAACCATGAACAAATACACGGTTTGTGGAAAACATTTCCGTGTATCACAATGGCGAATTCTCACCAATTATCCATGCCTTGATTATAATCGATGATACACGATGATCAGACTTCATATTACGCACTAGTGGCTTCCAAACTTTTCCAAGATATGATCCAATTTTTGGACGATAATCTTCAGCGCAATCCAAAAATCTACGTCCTAAAAAACAAACAAAATTACGTTTACTTTCTTTATTTTACTGGTGTGATACTTTACTCGTTTAACACATTGACTGCCAACCACGACTTATCTCGTGGTAGATGCTCGTCAGGACGCGTCTCTTAAAGGTTCGTTACTAACAAAAAAGAGGAATATTTTTTCTTATTATTATTTATTTAAAAAAGTAGACATGTTGACGTCTAAAACAGATTTTTTCAATGTAGGCTTGGCAGTATGTGAATACAAAATCAAATGTTTGTTTTACTTTGTATACAAACATGTATATTTATTTAGCATATAATATTATTAATTTCTATTCAGTTTTTAATGTTTTCCATGCGATCTAGACATTCTTGTCATGAACGCATAAAATCCACAGTTTATTTATGAACTGCAAACAAAGATAGCGAGATGGCACTTTTCTTCGACTGTTTGACGGATGATGATGGTATTTAGTATCATAAATCCTATCTTGTTAATCTTTGTTTTATTATTTCGTTATGACATCTGTAACCATGAGTATAGACTACCTACAGAGGAAAGCGCACCGTGAATGCACACTTCCTTGACATAACCCCTTGACATACCATTTTCTTCGCAGTTACTGCGATTAGAAATTTTTCGATTGCAATAATCTCTTAGAAGGGAAAGAAAATTGATGCTTATTGTATGCTTAAATTGATTTGAATGCTTAAATATTGATGACGAGAGATTAGAATTTTATTCCAATTTATAATTAGAAATTTTCACATCGAGTCCGACCTCTTGTCGGATGACAAAGGGGTTGTTAAGCAACGGAATTACACGGCAGGATAATAAATTGCGAGACTTTTTCAAGCGAGGTTCCCGAAGAAATTGCTACATAATTATCGTTTCACCGCGTGTACAACTGTGACGTGTGGGATAGCGATTGTTCTTCCGCTCACGCGCCTCCTCTATAACGGAAATGATTTCCAATACGGCGCGTTCGCGAAAACGAAACGCGACGGCCGCCATATCGTGATAACAATTCGCGCGACGTAATCCGGNATAGCATCTATACTCAATGAGTTATTACTAGAAATTTTCATGACGAGTTGGACTCATAAAAATATGGCAAGGGATTAATGGAGTGAAATATGTGAATAGATATAGTAGTATAAGTGAAATGAAATTATACTGAATTTAAACGTTCTTTGGAGCGCTTTTTTTCTTTGATAGCTGGTGCTTGTATCCGACAGATGTTTCGCGCATGTAACAGCGAGATGATTAAATGAATCGTTTTCATTTTACCAAGCTTTTAAAAGTGAAATTCTCGTCATAATTGAAAGTCTCGCGATTTTTTTCAGACCGATCTTCCGAATATCGCGGGAACTTCAAACAGCTTTTAGCGGCTTCTAACCGTTTCCCATGAATGTGAATTCGCGTGCCGCGTAACGCGATTTCCACTTCCTTCGAGATGAATACCAATGCCGTCAGACCAGTTTGGAAAACGTTTCCTACACCGTGGGAACCGATGTCCCGACAATTGCATAACTTTACATTAAATTTTAATCTATCCACTCGATCGTAATCTGGAACAAGCGAAACAGGTTTAGTTAAACAGAGCATTTTTAAATCGCTTCGCCACTACCTGTCAAAAAGTATTCGATCGAACCAATCACACATTTATTATTAGAACTATTCCAGTAACCGATTCTTTATTATTTTTATCTCTTTTGGAATCAAATTGTAGCGCCAAAACCACCAACATTTTCATAATACTTAAATTAAATGAACATTAACCCTTTGCACTCGAGTGGCGACTCTGAGGCGTCACTAAAAATTGACATACTATTTTTCATAATCATTGCAAGAGTATCAGATTTGTTTATATTTAAAAAAAAACTGTTAAAATTGCATTATACTATCTATAAGCTCAGTTTCATATGCATAAATAGCAATAAATTATATAAAATAGAAATACTATAGATCAGAAAACATGTTTTGGATTTCGAATTCAAATAGTTTCGAGAGCAAAGGGTGACTGATATTAACCTAGATTTATGGAACCTGTCAAAATGACGGGTCACTAATTATTTAATTTACGATTATTCATATCGTGAAGATAAATTTATGAGTTATTTATTCAATTTATTTATTCAATTTATACTATGTTACTTACGGCAAATGTTACAATAACACTTGTTAAAAATCAGAATAAATGTCTTATTGTTACTTTTATATACTAATATAAAAGAGCTGTTTTTTGTGCTCCTTGAATCTAGTGTTAAAGAAATGTTGAGTGCTGTTTTTAAATCCTTTTCGTTGTTCAAGTTCATATTTAACGACTGAAAGTAAGACAACAAACATTATAATAAATGCGAACGTACGCGCGGTGGTGAGACTTTCACTGTCCGATACTAGGGGACAGTGAATCCAAGTGAATCCAAAGTAATATTCTTCTGGAAAGCAGTCCACCGTGAACAAAAAAGCAAAAGGTAAACGGAAAAAGTACTTACCAGTATTTAGGATAATACGATGTCTTTTGTTCGCAAAAATTTAATAGGTACTACACACTTTACTTTATTCGATGCGCTGATTACAATTCGATCGCCAATAAACGGCTGATTTAACTGCCTGTGAACACGCGATAGAAGCGAGCGAGTGCCGCACATAATTTTGATTATCCTCTTCCATGTTTTAATGGTCGAATCGACTTGTGTTCGTTTATATCTCTTGTTTTAAAGCTAATGCCAGATAGCAGGTGCCATTCGGTAAATGCAAATGAGATTGCAAACACATTAGAGATTTCACAAAAAATCATTGGATTCCGCATAAATTGCCGGGAAAGAGTTTGTTCGACCGCATTACAATGGCATTCCCGTGGAGAAATGCGCCTCGTTACAGAACACAAGAAACATTATGTTAGTCGATTCAAAATGCTTCTTGATAATTTCGAAAAATCTCGCAAATCTCTGCGTTACATTTAGCGTTGCAAATGGGGCTCTCCCCGTAATGGTTAGAGAGGCAATGAAAATTCGCAGGCCATACGTCACGGGCGTGAAATCCGCTGGTCGAGATGCGGCGACGAGACGTTCACCGACGAGAAAAAGGAAATCACGGACGCTCTCTAGTTAAGAAAATAGGAGAGCCTGGTGAATTAACCTGTCGGTGCTGGTAGTAGTCGCGAAGTGAAAGGAAACGTGTTTGGGTGGATGAAGAAGCTGGTGAAAAATAAACGAAATGAAATATTTCAGCTGGAAGGAGAAATGGATTAATCGTTTGCAGCAAATAAGCGATGCCTTCAATGGAAATGAAAGTTCGATCCTGTCGTTTCACTGCCGTGGCGAGTGAAGATCGTCGAACGTCTCGGGGTGAAAGGAAGCACTGACAATGTGGAAAAAGAGGAACTTGTCTCTCTTCTTTCAGGAAAAGCTGTTATTCACGGATTAATATTTACGTAGCAACACGTTCTCGCGTTTCAGTTCAGACTGTAATGACAGTCGTTGCATTCAACTAACGCCGTTTCAATTATATATATTGCCGAATAAGCGTTCAATGAAATGGATACTGCAGCTCGAAAGCATTGGTCGTAATCACCGAATCGGAGCTACGAGCGAAAATATGATTCCTCCGACTGTAATTTTGCGTCTTTCGCTCATTTCTGGTTAAGTTATTTAGTTATTATTGAGCAAATTCTTGCTTCAACTATTTCTCGATTACTTTCCAGTGTGAACTCGACACAACGACTTTGCTGCCTTGAGAAACAGCATTTTCACCATCGAATCAGGACTATACGCGAAAAAATGTCTGTTTTCTTTTATTTATTACTATAATTTGTGTATTATAAATAGCTAATTAATATTACTTGTCCAATTATTACTAGATAAATTTCATCAAAAACCGTTCAAAGATCTCATCCATGATCTATCAAATTATTTGGATGAATATAATGTACCAAGTACCTTTTAAATTATTATTAAAAAGAAAATTATCGTGCTTCTCTTAGGCACAGTTCAGTCATTAATAAACCTGTTAATAGACTTTCGGCAAATAAGCGATAAACTTATAGTTAAATTATCACTGACCGTTTTCAGATACTTCCAATTTGGGAAGCGTACAAAGACTTTTGCGATCGACTGTACATCTGCACTGCTTTATTTTGACATGACCAGTCTTATCTTCTATTAGCGATATATTCCAAGTCAATATGCAATTGGAATGCGAATCTCTTAATTACAACAGGACAATAAGGAAGTCGTTGATTTTAACTACACATCTGCAAGTTGATGACGTTTTATACAATAATTAAATACGAGATGAACCATTTATTAATTAACGTATGCAATGGAGACTGTATAAAGAGTTGTTCAACGATTTAAATTAAGAAATGCCTTCTAAACTAATAATTTTCCGATATACATACATGGATTAGTACTTCTTGCAGAAGAAAATGCATCTGCAACGACTTAAGAAAACAGAGTTGAATTTTTATTATGGGTTATAATTACAGCGTAGAGTACGATGATTATATTAGAACCGCAGTAACACGTTTAAGCATTTGTGGCACATACGTGCATATTTGTAAAATACAGGGAACGATCAGTAAGAATCAGTAATCTTTTTATTCTACTTAAATGATTGAAAATCATTGATGAAAGTTGACCAAGGAAAATTTTCCTTAATTATAATCTTTATAAGATAACACAGAAAAATATGAATTCACATAGAAAAAATGCAATCTTGTAATGTCACGTGAGACTCTATTTATGTTCGATCTTCGTACGTGAAAGCAATGTAGCAAGGATACAAATCATGACTCAAGAAATCGGTATACGTCTTCATATCTTCGTAGATACTTTCTAGCATATAATCAAATTCAAAGAAATCGAGGTAACTTTCAAAGAAAACTAACCTGTATTTCCCCTGCGTTGCATCGATTCGCCTACTTCCCTATTGGTAGCCATAATCTGGAAGGAAGAGATTTTCAAATGTTTAAATTTGAATCGCATTGGAACAATTAAAATAAGAAAAAATTACAAACGCGTCGTTAAGTGACATATTATCGAAGTTTTTGATTTTTACACTTGATCTATCGTTCGTCTACTAATAAAATTTTTAATTAGTATACTGTATTAACCCCTTGACATACCATTTTCTTCGCAGTTACCGCGACTCGAAGTTTTTCGATTGCAATAATTTCTTAGAAGGGAAATAAAATTAATGCTTATTGCGTGCCTAAATTTACTTGAATGCGTAAATATTGATGACAAGAGATTAGAATTTTACTCCAATTTTAAAAGACAGAATAGTATCTATACTCAATAAGTTATTACTAGAAATTTTCATGACGAGCCGGATTCGTGAAAGTATGGCAAGGGGTTAATAAGAATCTACTGTCCATTAATCAGAAGACGTCCGCTGAGAAAAGTGTCGGACCGATCAACACCAACCCATCCATTCTAACGCCCTCGCCGAAGTAGGTTAAACGCGTTTCCCTTACTGACAGAAATGATCCCTTCCTATCAGCCCCAACTTCCACGAAACGAGGGACTCGAGTCCGGCCGAATAAAAACAAACAACGCCTCCTGACTACCGTCTTCGTCTGGCACCCCTGTGGTCACCATTTTCGACTAGGAGCACATCAGACGCGTGACCTGTGCTTTGTGTGGATATGTGCGTGTGTATTATTTACGCGACCACGGCGAACGAGCACGCGACGGGAATCAGGAAGCGTAGAACAATCAAGACAAAGTGAAACAGACGCAACAAATACAAGATGCAAGAGCGTTGACTTACCTCTAAAGCATTAACTTCAGCTTCTTCTGATGAACATGTGATTATTTGTAATTACTAATTACCAATTACTAATTACTAATTACAAATTACTGATTACTGATTACTGATTACTGATTACTGATTACTGATTACTGATTACTGATTACTAATTATTAATTACTAATTAGCATCTTGATTAACATTTCATTGGTTTATGCAGATTATGTACTGTACATATATTTTTTATATTTGTGTTGTATTATATGATATCTTACCCTTTCGTCAACGTATAATGTTAAGAACGCGAAGGTGATACAGTAAATTCTACCTAAAAGGCCCGGAGCTCGGAATTAAATACAGTAATCGCCAGACACTCAGACACGGTGCTTCGAGGCTCGCGGCTCGTTTTTATAAAAACTCGGGGCTATCGGCAAAAAAGGCAGCGACCAGAATGCCGATGTACATTAATATAAATACATTCTGTTTTTTTTTGCCACGACTCGAAGGTAGTTCGGAGGACACATGCTACGATTCCAAGGTAATTCGGAGAACACGTGCCACGATTCGAAGGCAATTCGGAGGTTCCGGAGGCTCCGCGGTTTTTCTTACCTGATTCACATCTAAACAGACCATTTTGTGTTGTCCTCCAGGAATTCGCGACGCTTGCCGCATCACATGCTTAACCGACTCCGTCAGCTTTAGCATCGACATAGCAATCAATCACACAGGCGTAGGACTAGCACAGGGCAATTGACAGCAACCCGAAATTTGGCATTTTCGGGAGAAACTACTATATCGGGAAACGAGAAAATGAAACATCACGCATAAACTAAATGAGCTCCAATTTTTTTTTTATTCCAGACTTTTGATTATTATTGGCTAAGTTACGCGTTGAACAAGAGACGCAATTAGGTGGAACGGACGACCGAACCCCCTTGTCCTTCTGTCGAAACGACGGACTTCCTCTGAGCAAGGAACAGTAAACAATCTTTTTCTACATGATGGTACCAAATAAAACTTCTTGATAATGTTCCTGGGGACGACTTGTTATTAATTATAAAATCATCACCGGTTTATTAATTATAAAAATACAACCATAATGTGTTAAATAATCTATAAGTTTACACAACGTGATTTAAGTGTTAAATGTTTCTATGTTCAAACAAGCACTTTCTCTGCTTGCTTTGATCACAAATGCATAATCTGCAGTTTAACTTCTTGACGTATCATTTTCCTCACTGTTACAATGCTTAATACTTTTTCAATTCTAACAATTTATTAGAATTAAATGAGAATTTATATTTATTCTCTGTGCCTAGATTTACTTGAATCCTTAAATATCGATGAACAGGGAACAGAATTTTATACACACATTTTTAACATACGTATTGAACAGATTATTACTAGACATTTCTAAAGAAGCCAGACTCGTCAATGAGTTAGCAACAATATTTTCAAGAAATTCGGATGCCACGATGTTTAAATTCCCATGAACGTCTTTCGCCATCTAATGGGACGAGCGGGGAATAAATAAAAGACGAGGAAAGAGGAGTATAGCCGAGTCAAGTTCTCACGTACACGATGGATCGAAGAAGATTAACTATATGCTTTCCACTTCTCGGCGAAGTTACGTTCGCACCTTTGGTAGTTCGCGATCCTATCGTCGCGCCACAACTCGTAATACGTCCGCGCGGAATGTGCACTGAGGTCTTTTCATGGCCAGGATTGAGATCGAGGATGTGCCACGGTGTTCCGTTCTCGATCGCGTCGGCGAACGCGGAAATTGTCTGCTGTTCGCAGTAACAATCACTGTTTCCCCGCTGTTCAGGCTTCTAGTGATCATGGCACTTCTCTATCACGATTTCACCATACAAGGCAGTCCGGAAATTAATTACAAATATCCTTGGGCCTATATGTGGTGACAACGACAAACAAAAGCCAACAGTATCCACTCGTTGTCAAACAAGAAAACATAGAGCGTGGACAATCGAAACTTGTTTCAAACGTTTTACAATGAATATATAATCGTAGCGAAAAGTATGTTCACTGCTCTTTAAACGGAATAACTTCTCAAAAATTCGACGATAAACTGGCTAGTTCAATAGACAATAAAGAGACAAAAATTTGAAAAAATTGTAATTGGGTGGAATAATAAAAATAAAATGAAAAATTTATGTTATCATAACTCTTTTATCTGAGCCTATAACTAAAATTTAAACAATGGAATGGCATCAATTTTAATCGGTGCAGGGATACTCAAAATGATTAAAAAAAAATTATGCGCAATGGAGAATAAACGATATAAATAAATAAAACAGATTAATATGAAAAAAGGGCAGTTATAATATATATACAGGGTGTTCCACAATTATTTTAACAGCCGAAAATGAGGGGTAGTTGAGGTCATTTGAAGTAACTTTTTCCTTTGCGAAAATGCAATCTGCGGCTTTGTTTACCAGTTATTAACGGAAAACACTGACCAATGAGAGGTTATTTCAAGGTTATGTCAAGGTTATTTGAAAGTTATGTTAAGGTTATGTCAAGGTTATTGTTTATATTCTTCATATTTCTCTCTAACAAACATATCCCTTACGTCCTTTAACACGATTATTATTTATTAAATTAGCTTTGCGAATCATTCGTTGAACTGTGTTCGGACACGGAATTATTTAAATTAAAATATCATTTACGTACTTTGTTAATCTTCACTGTACACCTTGCTTAAAAATTTCATATGTTACACACAAGGTGTCATGCACACTAGGAAATTAAACCGTTTTAATTACTTACTATTTCGGTTCCGAAAAATTAGTAAATATTCTTCAGACGTTCTAAAGTAAAGGTTTTTCTTAAAAACATCACTGTTACGACTGTTA